CTTAAGGTGATGCCTTGGCCACAATTTTTACCGACCGAGCACGGAAAATGTATATTGAAATAACTTTTTTTTCAGACTGATTTTCGAAAAACGGCTCTATGGAGCCCTCCGTATTGATGCTGTGAACAACTGCACCAAATTTCAGCAAATTTCATCGGATAGTTTTCCCGGAAAACAGGATCAAAATTTTTTATCCTGCAAACATTAGTCAAAAATTTTGATCCTGTTTTCCGGGAAAACTATCCGATGAAATTTGCTGAAATTTAGTGCAGTTGTTCACAGCATCAATACGGAGGGCTCCATAGAGCCGTTTTTCGAAAATCAGTCTGAAAAAAAAGTTATTTCAATATACATTTTCCGTGCTCGGTCGGTAAAAATTGTGGCCAAGGCATCACCTTATCTAATTTATGCAAAAAAATTGTTAAAAAATACAATTAACAATGAACTACAACTAATGTAATTAATGATGTTGTCAAATTGTAATACTGCGAATCTCAAAACTTAATGATACAAAGAGTTTACTGCTCGGAAGTGGCTAATACTATGATGTAAAAGAAGTATTTGTGCTCTACTTTAACATGATGCTTTATTTTTAACGATTTATCAATTATTAATTGAGTAATTTACAAATTAAGAAGTTATTGTTTTTTTCATAAATTGGCGCATTCTCGCGGCCGATTATGGCGCACGAGTATTACATGCATTGAGATCTACATTACCCGCGCTGCGCCATGATAAGCAATGTGTGATCTACATAACCTAAATCATTAGCTTGTGCATTCGAATAATTTGAGTAAAATATGACGCACTAAAATTGCGAAGCACATCTGTTTTTGCATTTCATACTAACATTATACTGCGCCATAATCGGACGAGATATGCGCCACAAAAGACGCAAGTTATAAAATTGCGGCTCAACGTGACTAATTGTTTTAGTTCAATTTGGATGAAAATAATTAATTATTTTGTAAAAAAAAGAATTTTAACCGAAAGATTATAAATTTAGGTTTAATTTGAGCTATCATACATGTGATATTGACAAGGGGATCATTCATTTATTTTGAAAACGGCTTAAGTGCGCCGCAACCACCCATTCTGACCTACCGGTTATCAATTATATTCTTCGGGGCGAAGAAATTGATCGACAGTGAGCGAGATAAATGGGTAGGGGTGTTTTTATAAGGCACAGATGTCGCGCGTCGCCGCGCAACACACATCCTCCAAAATTCAAAACATACCGCCGAGGTAAATAGTTTATCTGCGGCAAACAAAGACGTGTGTGCGCGTCATCGGCTGATTACCGATCGTCGCGGGGAAAATTTTTCATATGTATACATTATAATCGCGATATCTCGGTCAGCGATAATAACGCCTGTCCCGTAGGCTACCGGTCAAACTATCGAGTCGATATTTTCACGAGCTCGGCACCAATGGTATGGTTTTGGTTTTACCGACCTTTCCCACTGCGCAACGAGATGAGTTGAATTCAAACAGTTTGGTGCAAGTAGTCCATGAGAACGGAAAAAAGTGGCATAAGTTCCGAGTACTAGAAAAAATTCGATTACTCGAAAAATCTCGAGTACACAAATTTTCCCTACAAATTCGAGTCGAGTAAAACTCGAAAAATCGGGTACTCGCAAATCCCTAAATTGCATAATCTCAGATTAATTCGCATTATTTTATATTAATTTGCATTATATTATATTATATTATATTCATTAACATTATTTGTCTACAGATTTGCGACTATAACGACTTGGAGAATGCCACGTAAAACATGACGCCCTGGACAAATTGCGAAGTGGCCCACGACTTTAATAAAGTTACCGGATCGCTTTTGAGAATGACATAGATTCAAATTTGTCCAACATAGACAGAATGTTATTATTTGCAAAGAATGTAATCGTAAACTCTTCAATCTGTCTGGTTTTTTTTGGTTAAGATGATCCACGTGTTTAAAATTGTAGTCGTAGCTTTCGTCGACTTCGTTTTCGACATGGAAACTCTTTTCGGATTCGTCGTCGTACATGGACATCGTTCTGCGCACTCGCACACAAACACAATCGCTTGGATTTTAAAATATTTACTTATGTAAAAGCACAAATTATATTTCGCATTTTGTGATAAATTAATAATAAAATTGAACCATCACTGTAACATTATTCTCAACATTTTTTTCATTTTTCCAATGATTTTTCTAGTAGCTGTAATATAAATATGAAATTAAATATATTTTGATGAGTAATTTGGTAAATTAATATTTTTATATTTCCAACTATAACTAAATTAAAAGTTATGAATATTATGATCAAAATCGTAGTAACTCTTTTTTTTCTAAAGATCAAATAGGAATAAGTATAATGATTGTCTGTCTTTGATAGTTTACCGTGTTCGAATTTACGAGTTTCAAAAAGAAAATTGTAACTTAATTAGTTTTAATACACTAAACTATTAAAATTTATGTAAAATTCATATAATTTTACATGAAAATTGTATTGATTTTAATAATCAGTGCAGAATATGGGCATGGCAAATGGCAATGGCATAACGATGACTACAGCGACGCTTCGGGCTCCGCCCCCAACGCTCGGAGACAATGGATCTTATTCTTGGTGCAGCCAATCGCTGCAGTGCACGTACAGAACTTTCACTTTGTACTCTGCTCCTTAGCGCATGTGCTACTGGTGTTTCGTGGCCTCAGATCAGTACGAGCTACGACGCCGCATAAGCAGCACAAAAAAGTTCTCGACTATAACCCCTCGGCAGCAGTTAGTGATTGATAAGCGTAAAGGTATTCGCGCGCGAGTGTAGAACAAATTTATCATGGACCAATTGAGCAAGAACAACGTCATCGACGAGAAGCTGGACTTGCCGCTGCCGAAAATCGAGCAGATTCTCAAGGCTAACATCAATTCCGAGAAAGGCAAGTCGACGGACATCGAATGCTTGTCGTTGATCGAGAGAATGATCCTCATGAACTACAACGACGATCTGAAATTCGACCAAGAGGGTAAGCCGATACTGCGGCGTACCACGGCGGTGCATTTCGTGGCCAGGCGCGATCTACCCCTGGAGAGCCCCAAGATCCAGGCACTCTTTCGAGTGTACGACAGATTCGAGGCGAATTACGTCGACGAGACGGGCTTGAGCCACTTCCACGTGGCCTGCCGATACGGCTTCCACGACGTGGTCGAGCGATTCATCGAGGCCGGGCAGAGTCCGGATTTTCGACCGTTACAAACGATAGACCCGCCGTTGCACTTGGCTCTACACCACGGCCACTGGACGACGGCGGAATTGCTCCTGAGTCGAGGCCGCGCCGACCCAACCGCGACCAGCAGAGACGGATTGACAGCCTTGCATGTGCTCAGTCAGAATCGGGAATGCGATATGGACTTGGCGCAGACGTTGCTCCAGGGCGGCCTCGACGTGCGAGTCGACGCTTGGGACAGGTGGGGTAACACACCGCTTCACCTGGCCCTGCACCATGGCAACGCCAAGATGGTCGAGCTGCTGTTGAGGCACGGCTCCAATCCGAACTTCGTCAACAACGCCGGGATGTCTCCGCTGCACGTCATCTCGAGGCGGGACCGCCACGGCCACCTGGCGGAGCTGTTCTTCGGCGTCGCGGACGAGATGCATCTCTCGGTGTGGGTCGACGCCCAGGACAATGAGGGCAACACACCGCTTCACTGTGCCCTGCAACGGGGACTCAAGAGGGTCGTCGTTCTACTGCTGCAGCGTGGGGCCGAGCCGAATTTGGCCTGCGCCGACGGTGGCAATTGCCTGCACATCCTCTGCCGGCAGCAGTACGACGGAGAGCTCATCGACGCCTTCTTCGAGGTCATCAACGATAGACGCCAGCTGATGGAGGTCAATGCCCGGGACAAGCAGGGCGACACTCCGCTGCACTTGGCTCTACGACGCGACGACGTGGCCATGGCCGAGCTCCTGCTGAGGAGCGGCGCCGACTCGCTTCTGGCCAACAACGAGGGAGACACGCCCCTGCTCATGATGAGTCGAAATTACGACGAGTGCCGCGACCTCTTGGATATACTGAGTGGTCTCACCTTGAATCAACCTCCAACGTTACAGGTCGACGTCGTGGGCAGTTCGGCCATTACGGTTACCAGCACCGTCGTCTGAGGAATTCGTTCGTCCGCGCATTATTTAAACAAAGAGATAAGCAATGATTGGCCAGCAAAATTGTTCTTGAAAATTTTAACGAGATTCATTTCAATTATTTTTTATTGATAAGCACACGATCGTTTTTAATAACAAAGATCTTAACATGTACATACATAATTGTTACGCAATCTTATCGAGACCTTATACACGTTATCGAACGTAAATGTAAAAAAAAGTTATACTATAGCCAATTGTAAAAGTTTAAATAATGTAAGGAAAAAACGATTATTGATAATTATGAACTCACTAATTAATTTTTTAATAAACCAACATTAAATGGAAAAATTTCAAACGTATTGTCTTTATTTCAAGAATATATTCGTCGTCAAATATTAAAAAAATATAAAATAAACATTTGTAATATAATTATAATTAATAATTAATAATAATCATTCAACAACATTAATATCTGATAATTACCAGGCTCTACTCAAAATATGACATGCCTTATACTTTTTTTAACGGATACGCCTTACTTTTCGGAATGTGACTTATATCTTTATTATAATTTAAAATGAAAATTTGATAAACATGAAATGATTTGATGAAATGTTTTTCTTTAGAAAAAACTACAAGATTGATATTTGACTCCATGATCTGTTACCTTTCTAACCGGAAATCAATGACACGACGTAATTTAATCGTATACGATGAATATGATGATATATATACATATGAAAAATTTTTCCCGCGACGATAGGTAATCAGCCGATGACGCGCGCACACGGCTTTGTTTGCCGCAGATAAACTATTTACCTCAGCGGTATGTTTTGAAATTTGGAGGATGTGTGTTGCGCGACGCGATTTCTGCTGGAAATGGGCGCCAATCCAAACTTGGCCGACTACGATGGAAATAACGGTCTGCACCACGTGTGCAAGATGGGCGAAGGCAACGATGGCTTGGCGGACATGATATTCGGTAACGACGATTACAAGCCGTTGCCGATTAGCGCCCGGAACGACAAAGACTATACACCACTGCACCTGGCGGTGAAGAGAGAAGCCTCGAATATGATCGAAGTGCTCCTGAGACACGGGGCCTATTCCAATGCAACCAACGATAAGGGAATGACACCATTGCATTACATTTGCAAGAAGTACGACGATCCGACCTTGCTGAATCTATTCCTCGGGATCAACGAAGAACTCGGTCAGCCGGTGCTGATCGACGCCCTGGATAATAACGGCCGGACACCCTTGGCCTGGGCTCTGGCTAGCCATAACATCCGCTCGGCCGAGGTGCTGCTGAGGCGAGGCGCCGACACGATTTTGGGCACGCCCTTGAACCGCATTTGCTATTACGGCGATCGTTGGGTCGAGCTGTTCTTCGAAGTCATCGACGGGAGGAATCATGTGGTGGATTAAACGCCCGGGACAATGATGGTTACACGCCCTTGCACGTGGCTGTGTGTTGCGGCTATAGAAACTCGATGGAATTGCTGCTGAGAAGAGGCGTCGACCCGAACTTGGTCAATGATGATGGAATGACGGCTCTGCACCTTATTTGCAGGAGAGGCCAAGACGACGATTTGGCGGAACGATTTTTCACTGTCAATACCGAAGTCGGTCAGCAGGTGCTGGTCAATGTTCAAGATAATTTGGGCAACACGCCGCTGCATTTGGCTCTGTCTCGGGGCCACAGAAACTTGGTAAAATTGCTGCTGAGAAGGGGTGCTTCAACAGCGGAACCTCTGCACGACATTTGCAAGAGGGACCAAGATGACGGCTTCGCGAATATGTACTTCCATATCAACGCAGAACTCGATCGACCGGTGGACGTCGATGCCCGGGACCAGTTGGGTCGGACACCGCTGCAACTGGCTCTGACGAGTCTCCTGCCCGATGCGATCGATGCGCTATTGGCTAACGGCGCCGCTCTGCCAAGTGCCTTCCCCCCCACCGTGGATGATTTTCGCCAGAGATTCAATCCGGTAAAATATAACGAAAATTATGTTAAATTGAGAATAGCATCTGGCATTCTGGTCGTTATCGAGTGCTTAGATAAACATGGATACGAGATGGACCAAACCATAGCCTTTGAAGATCATGAAATTATTCGCTGATTTCGGTTTATACGAGAAGTCGACGAGTCTCGAAAAATATTGGTACGAAGACGAGAAGTTTGCCGACAAATCGAAAGAGACGATGGTAATGGGTATACCCATTTATCTCGCTCACTGTCGATCAATTTCTTCGACCCGAAGAATATAATTGATAACCGGTAGGGAAGAATGGGTGATTGCGGCGCACTTAAGCCATTTTCAAAATAAATGAATGATCCCCTTGTCAATATCACATGTATGATAGCTCAAATTAAACCTAAATTTATAATCTTTCGGTTAAAATTCTTTTTTTTACAAAATAATTAATTATTTTCATCCAAATTGAACTGAAACAATTAGTCACGTTGCGCCGCAATTTTATAACCTGCGTCTTTTGTGGCACATATCTCGTCCGATTATGGCGCAGTATAATGTTAGTATGAAATACAAAAACAGATGTGCTTCGCAATTTGAACCACATCTGTTGAAACCATATAAGTTTTATTTATTTTAAGAATCGATTTAATCACACCCAATTCAAATTCTCTCGGAAATTTGTCTAGTACATAGATTATTTCTTCTTCAAAATGTGTATTATTCATTTCAATCCATTTATAACCTACCTATTTGGTCGTATTTGTTTATCTTACTTGGGCGATTTTTGTTTATGATTTGGGCGCGAAATCGCCCCAGTTGAGATTAAAACGATACCACCGTGTCGGACAAAAGCGTCACCAGACTGCGGCACATTTAGTTACCAAGCGGTAAGATACGAGTCTCAAATTTCTTTCAGTGTAAACGCGTGCGCGCACGATAGTTTTTCACCGATAACGATGACTCGGTGTAAACTGTCTGCGGTGTCGATTTGTGTGCGATCGGACAATTCACGTCGAAATTTACATTTTCAGAGAGTGAGATTCACACTCATAAGGAGTCGATAGCGTGGAAGAATCAAAGTCGATAAGCAATTACGTTTCTGTTGTCTAACAAGAAAAAGAGATACGAGCGGATATTGTTAATTGCGTTACGTATCTATTGTGTCAAAACTGGAAGTTACAAGATGAGCCTTTTTTCTACTTTTTTATATCTTTCATTTTTTTCTCAATTCATTGTTCCAAAAAAACAAGTAGAGGAGAATCACTTATTGCGGTGCGTGTGTTATTGTGGCGCACGTCTATTTAGCATACTTGGAAATATTTTTTTGAACTGAAATTCTACAACAATATTCTATGCAGAACACTTATCTAATTTATGCAAAAAATTGTTAAAAAATACAATTAACAATCAACTACAACTAATGTAATTAATGATGTTGTCAAATTGTAATACTGCGAATCTCAAAACTTAATGATACAAAGAGTTTACTGCTCGGAAGTGGCTAATACTATGATGTAAAAGAAGTATTTGTGCTCTACTTTCACATGATGCTTTATTTTGAACGATTTATCAATTATTAATTGAGTAATTTACAAATTAAGAGGTTATTGTTATTTTCCTAATGTGGCGCATTCTCGCGGCCGATTATGGCGCACGAGTATTACATGCATTGAGGTCTACATTACCCGCGCTGCGCCACAATAAGCAATGTGTGATCTACATAACCTAAATCATTAGCTTGTGTATTCGAATAATTTGAGTAAAATATGACGCACTAAAATTGCGAAGCACATCTGTTTTCGCATTTCATACTAACATTATTGCTAAACACATGTGTTTTTGGATTTCATACTAACATTATACTGCGCCATAATCGGACGAGATATGCTCCACAAAAGACGCAGGTTATAAAATTGCGGCGCAACGTGACTAATTGTTTCAGTTCAATTTGGATGAAAATAATTAATTATTTTGTAAAAAAAAGAATTTTAACCGAAAGATTATAAATTTAGGTTTAATTTGAGCTATCATACATTTGATATTGACAAGGGGATCATTCATTTATTTTGAAAATGGTTTAAGTGCGCCGCAATCACCCATTCTGACCTACCGGTTATCAATTATATTCTTCGGGGCGAAGAAATTGATCGACAGTGAGCGAGATAAATGGGTAGAAGTGTTTTTATAAGGCACAGATATCGCGCGTCGCCACTTAACACACATCCTTCAAATTTCAAAATATACTGCTGAGGTAAATAGTTTATCTGCGGCAAACAAAGACGTGTGCGCGCGTCATCGGCTGATTACCGATCGTCGCGGGGAAAATTTTTCATATGTATACATCATAATCGCGATATCTCGTCGATATTTTCGCGAGCTCGGCACAAGTGGTATGTAACCGCACAAGATACACATTTCGTCATTTGACTCGCTCAATGAAAATATTGAAAAAAAATGTTTGATTATCTCGATTTTTGAAATTTTCAATAATTTTTTCTGAAGGCCTGAAGCACTCAAAAAATCTGAAAAAATTCAAAGTTATTTGGATTGTAGAAAAGTATTTTTATGAATTTTTTCAGATTTTTGACTTGCTTCATGTCCTCAAAAAAAATATAGAGCGAAAATGGACGTTTATACCGGAAGTGGAGGGTAGGAGGGGGGAGGGGGTCTAAAAATTTTTTTTTGGGACCTTTTTACCATGTACTATAACATACCAAAAGCGCGTCAAAATCGGTGACATATGTGCGCGTGTATTTTTAGATGACTTACTGTTTGTGAGTTCTCTTGGTGAATATGTAACGTGTTTGCAGCTGGCTCCGATGCCGTAAAAGTTTTATACGGTTCGTTCATAGCGCTAGAAGTGAAATATGAGGTAAAGCAGTGAATTTACATACGTATCTCATTAGAAATCTATATTTTCATTAGATTTGAGATACGATTGTAAGACAGTAGACTTCTAAATAAAACTTTTACTTCTTTTGTGAAATGCACGTCCGAACACGTCACGAATATTCTATAAAGCAACTCAAACTAGTGAATAAGCGCAATTTATTGAATTTCAAAAATTAAGAGAAACTCCAGAAGATCTACAATCGAGAACATGTGCTTGCATCGAATTTCAAAAATGGAAAAACAAAATTTTTTGTTTCCGGTGATTCGGCGTTTGGAATACGGTGTTTGCTATTCGACCTACTTTTAACTGCTACTATATCCCAAAAACGCTACTTTTCGGCCCGCGCGGCGCCAAATCTCACGTTTTTACACGTTCGTCGCTGTATTTCCTTAAGTAATAATCAATACCACTCTTTGAAAACTTGCCCGTCGATAGGAAATTTCCTCAGCTTTCGATTGAGACTAATTAGAAAAATCTTAAAAATGCCCTTTTCTGAGATATTCGACTTTGAAGGTTTTCCGGCAATTTTCTCGAGGAAAATGAAAATTTTTTGGAAATTTGACCTCACAATAGGAAAGCTGAGGTAATTTCCAATCGGAATCATGTGGCTCATATTTTTTCTAGGTGCATTTAGATGCTATTCTGAAGAGTTACAAATTGAGCAATTTGGCATAATAAGGCCGCTCGGGCGCACCGCTGGAGACTTAACGTGAAACGACTCATATACGCTGTACAGAGAGCAGTCGTCTCATCCTTCTGCTGCTCTTGCCCAACTATACATCCAAGCATATTGTACAAAAGTAACTTCAATGCAAATTGTATAGCTCATATTCTCGGGCTGGAAGATAGGAGTAAATGACCTACTTTCTGGCGAGGTTATACTAGCTGAAATATACATGATGCGAAATTACATCGATATGTAAATAAATAATGAGCGTGCACGTGCTCGTTTATCAAAGATTTTAACGATTTCGCAACGACAGTTTATCAACGTAGACATAAGATGTAGCACTATTATGTAGTGTAAGCTTGCTTTTATTGTTTGCAAGTGTCTGATGTGCCATCTAGTAGTGAGTTGATACATTAAATTCATTGTAAAACCTTCCCTTAAGTGTACCACGATAATACTTAAAAATTACGAATAATCTTGCTGTGATCAAATAATTTACATGCTACGCGTTGTACCACGTACATTTCAGCGATTCGATAATTGACATCGATTGGCTGTAAAAAATTACTCCAAAATCGCATTATGTGTCAGAAAAATTCTGAGGTAGATAATCATTTCAATGCATCTTACGAAATGCTCAGTCTTCGTAACCCGCGTAACTTTTTTTCGCAATTTTCTCAATAGTACTCTTGCTCCGTGCCTCGTTTATGTTTATGCACGTCAAACATCGCAAATCAGCTCGGTATCCGGTTTGTTAAAGGAAAGTTTCGTTGTATTCGCCTTCGTGCGAATGAGCTTTCAATGCATAATATTACACGAAATTTCGAGCTTATGCATACATACAGTTTATAGAAATGCGCCAGCGAGTTGTTCGCGTGCTTACATATATCTATGGCTCTCCAGCTCTGTTTATACACCAGCCATACAAATTTTACCTTGTTAGATTTTGCAACGCGTTACCGCAAGTTTAATTAAAGGGCACGGATCTCTTAACGCCGATATAATAATATACGAGATATATACACGTTGTATTTGTAATGTCGAGGATGTATGGGCCCTCCTTTCGTTCTTCTCCTCCGACTCGCTCGGCGAATGAAAAGATCCATTTGAAAACCTGTTTCGCGCGAAACGCGTCAATCATGTTGAGCGTTCGAGGACGTGGGATCATTAGTTTTTCAATGTGACTATACGCTTGTGTACGAGGCGAATGCGGGTGTAAAGAGCGTCGTTACCAGAATCGAATATCCGGAATATCGTCAATAACTACATTCAAGGAATAGCATTACTATTTTAAATCTGTTTTCAGCTGTTCGCAGTGAAAAATCTATAGAAAAAACTGGTTTTTTCAACATTTTAAAGCTAAATCGTCGAGTGAATTTTTGAAATTCAACGTTTGGATGTCTTGGAAAAATTGACATTTGCGATTGAAAGAATAGATCATCGAGTAGCTAGTTATCCCTTTAACGCCTGAAATGACCATTTTTGGACAACATTTATAGCGATGAATTACACCGACGAGAAATTGTTTAAAAAACTTTTCAGACATCATTTCTCACGTAATATTTAATGTACATTTCGGAT